CGGAAAGTCGGCTGGCCGCGACTCTACCTCCGTGAGCATGCGGCGGTACCAGCGGCACGTTGGCTGTCGCGTGACCGCGTTGGCCTCTGGCGTACGAGACAGGGCATCGGCCACCCGGTTAAGGGCCCCTCGGCGGTATTGGATATCAAAGTCGTGCTGCTGAAGCTCGAATATCCATCGCCCTAGGCGGCCGGTAGGTTCCTCGATCCGCTGCAGCCAACGGAGGGCCTGGTGGTCGGTCAAGACCGTGAAGCGGTAACCCTCGAGATACTCGCGCATCCGCCGGATGCCCCAAACGACTGCCAGGCACTCCAACTCGGTAGCGCTGTAATTACGCTCCGCGACGTTGAGGGTGCGGCTGGCGTAGGCGATGACTCGCTCTCCCTCGTCAAGGTGCTAGGTTAATACGGCCCTCAGACCGTGTGCGCTGGCGTCGGTTTGGAGAACAAATGGCCTCGCGAAGTCTGGACAGGCCAGGACCGGCGCGGTGGTCAGGGCTTTCTTTAGCCCTCGAAAAGCGGCTTCCTCGTGGTCCGTCCAAGTCCACTTGACCTTCTTATGTGTCAGCCTGGTGAGGGGTGCGGCGAGGGTCGAAAAGTCGGCGATGAAGCGCCTGTACCACGAGGCCACTCCCAGAAACTGGCGTACCTTTTTCACGGTGGTCGGTGCTGGCCAATTCGCGACGGCGCTCACTTTCTCGGGGTCGGTGCGGATACCCCGGCGGTCAATAACGTGCCCGAGGTAGCGGAGGCTCGTCCGGCAGGAGTGGCACTCATCCGGATTGAGACGGAGCCGTGCCTGGCGCAGGCGGCGAAAGACCTTGGACAGATGCCGTAAGTGATCCTCGAATGTGCGGCTAGCGATGATAATATCGTCGAGGTACACCAGAACGTGCGGTTCGAGTTCCGGGCCGAGTATCCAGTCGAGCAATCTCTGGAAGGTAGCGGGCGCCGAGTGCAGGCCAAAGGGCATCACCCTGAAATACATCAGGCCGCGGCCGGGCACAGTAAACGCGGTTGCCGGCCGGCTTTGCGGTGTGAGAGGCACCTGCCAATATCCGTTTTTTTAAGTCTAGCGTGGATAAGTACTTAGCTCCACGCAGCTAATCTAGTGTGGCCGTGATGTGCGGCAGCGGATAGGCATCCTTTTTGGATGCCGCGTTCAGTTTTCGATAGTCGATGCAAAAGCGGTAGACCCCTTCCTTCTTCTTGACCAGGACGATTGGAGAGCTCCAGGCGCTAGTTGAGGGCTCAATGATTCCCTCCTTCTCCATTGTTCGTACTTCCTGGTCAATGATGGTCTGCATCGCCGGAGTACGTGGGCGATATCGTTGTTTGATGGCGGGTCCGGGCTTTAATCGGATGTGGTGTTGTAGCCGATCGGTTGGCCCTCGAACCCGTTCAAACTTTGGTAATTCGGTCGCTAAAAACCTCTCCAGGCGTTGGGTTTCCTCGGATCTCCCTGCGGTGCTGCCGACGGTTATGACTTCCAGGGTGGTCAGGTTGTCAGTCGGTTCTGTTGGCGGTGGTGGTGGTGGCAGCGTAATCCGCAACTTGGCCCATAGGTCTATGCCTATTAGCATGGAGCTACTAAGGTTCGGCAGAACGGAAAATTGGTGTGGGATAGTCTCCCCCTGGAGGGTGATGGGGAGTGTGAGAACTCTGGTGATGGGGATCCGCGTCCCATCCGCTAAGTTAACGTGTTTAGCCACGGTGTCTGGACGACGTGTGCGGATCTTTAGGCGATTGACGGTTTCGGTGCTGATAAACGAAACTTCCGATCCGGAATCGAGCAGGGCCCGTATTGTTCGGCGGACGACACGGACCTGTATATGCGGTCTCGGAGTAAATTCTACTCGGATTCGGGCTGGGTACTGGCCGCGACAGTTCCGGCCCGCGGTCCGTTTCCCGCCGGGGGATGACAGTCTCGAGTCAACACCCCGTCTTTTCCGCACCGGGAGCAAAACTTTCTCGGCGGTCGGCGGCAATCCTGCCGGGTGTGTCCTCGCTGCTTGCATCTCCAGCAGCAGTCATCTCGGCTGTAGGCAGCGGCTGCCACTCTCGGTCCTGGAGTCTTACGCTCCTCTTGCCGACGCAGGTTTTCGATCACCTCGATATCGGTGACTGGTGCGCTGAGCGCGCTAGTGTTGGTAATCTCGCCTCTTCGGATGTAGAGGCGATATTCCGGGCGCATGTTGGCGTACAGCTGCTCGAGCTGGTCTTGGGGCGTGTAGCCGCCTGCGCGTCGCATAAGGGTCATTACCTCAGTGGCGAATTGTTGGAACGCCTCACGTGGTTGCTGCTTCCGCCTTTGGATCGTACTCCTTACTTGGTATGAGTACTTGCTGGGCAGATACTGGACGCGGAAGTCCCGACAAAACTCGGCCCACAGGGTCCAGTTATTGCGGCAGTTGCGGTACCACATCAGTGGTTCGCCGCGAAGAAGTTCGGGCAGCCCCAAGAGCAACTGCTCGTCGTCGTAGCTGTATCCTCGTTTCAGCTCGTCGATGCGCTCCAGGAACGCCAACGGGTTCTTCCCGTCAAAGTGGCACCCCCACTTCCATATTTGATTCATGGCCTTAGCTGGATCGACGGGGGTCGCTCCGGTCGTGCCGGCGGTCGGGCCTTCGTTTGCTAGCGGCATCTTCGTGTCTTCGGGGGTCGTGGGGTGGGACGCGAAAAGAGTTGGGTTACTGGTAACAAAACGACGGAGCTGTCGGCGTAGCTCGTCAAGGTTGCCTACGGTTTCGAATCCGTGCGAGGCCAGTAATTTAATTACCGCGTCTTTCTTTAAGTTGTTTACCCACGCGGGCATCTAAGTAGGCTGAAACAAAGTTAAAAGAAAGTGATAAACTTAGATTTCCAGTTTTGTAACGGTTCACCTTTCCCGTACGCCGCGGATCAAGGCTCGCCGGTGCCAGGATTCGGGAGAAGGGGGAAACTCCAACTTACTTTACCTCGGTATAAGCGGTTTAAACAATTATGTTTATTCAAGTGATTCTTAATATCTAACACTGAGCTATATAATAAGTACGTTGCAACATGCGGGAGCGGTGCGTACAGAGTTTCGCGTGAACGGTGGTTGTTCGCAATGCGACATGCAAGAGCGGTGCGTACATTCGGCGGCGCTAGGCAACGTAACAATGTGGTCGCGCAGTCTCCGCGATCCGTCGCTAAATAATAATAACCGTGCAGCAGTTAAAAATACGTAGCATGAAGATTCGCTGTGACTATTTTTGCTTATAACTCAAAAATTACGCTTCAATTCAAATTTTGGTAAAGGAAAAATCGTCCTAGAATTGTATCAGGAATACGTCATTTCACGGACGGAAGGTTAGGTTAAGTTGTTCCGGAACACCCTGTATAGCGCGATGCGTATGCAACATTACGCGGTTTTTTTTCAAGGTTTTGATTTTGACATTAAATTTGGAAAAACAGAAAATCATGGCAACGCCGATGGCTTTTCTCGACTACCGATCAAAAGGTTATCGCAGGTTGTGACGCGCTGGATGTTTTTACAATAGAAACGCTAAACATGTTACCGCTTAAGGGGATCCAGGAACATGTCTGTTTTACCGACCAAACGCATTTTTTTTAACTGTACTAGTTTTCGTAATGGCTATACAGAATTACAAATGCTTTTACATGATTAAAGTACATACATCAATGTTCTATGGGACAATCGATTTTATGCTGAAATCTCCAAAAAGTTTAAAAATTACAGTTTTTCTTATCTATTTTTATCCCAATATGGCGTCTACAGTTGTCGACTCGTAACAATATTTGATTGTTATAAATTTTTTGCAAGTCATATGTATAAAATAAACCAATCCCATAGAATAGCCTTTTAGTTACGTTTAGATAAGGCGCTAACCCATCGGAGTTCGCCCGTCAGTTCAGGATCCCCTTAAGGCGAAATTCGAAAAAAGACGTCCAAAGACGCCGATCTCGCGAAAATAATAGAAGCTCTAGAAAAAGGTAAATGCTTAAAAAAATTAGGGCTACAGAATCATGAGTTTGCATTAAGCAATGGAATACTGTTAAGAAAAGATAGAGTGGTAATACCGGAAGTTTTAAGTGGCAGAATTCTCGAAGAATTACACTCCGGTCACGTAGGAATTGTTAAAATGAAAGGCCTATGTAGGAATTATGTTTGGTGACAAGGTATCGATAATGACATTGAAAAAACTGTTCGAAATTGTAGAGAATGTAGTCGATTCCAAAATGATCCCAAACCAGTACCGTTGCATCATTGGGAGCCTACGGATGAACCATTCCAAAGGATCCATATGGATTTTGCTGGACCATTTATGGGTCATAATTTTCTGGTTTGCGTAGACTCACATACGAAATGGCCTGAAGTTTATGTGATGAACAATATTACTGCCGCAAGTACAATAGAAAAATGTCGTGAAAATTGGTCGAGATTTGGTCCCTCTAATTTAAAGTTTTATAAAAGACGCTTTTATTAAAAGCTAAAGAAACGAAATTTTAATGTTTCAATTTTGAACATACCGCCCGCCTTGGAACGATAGTTCCAAAATAATCGATACAGCAATTGCATTAAACGATAAGAGCGCACGCCACAAGTAACAGCATGAGCGAAAAGACGACAAGTTGCGCGACGTGGTTTGACGCGCTGAATTTGCCGCCCGCCTTGGCGGAATGACGCTCGCATCTTGACCATTTTGAGCTTAATCTAATAATGTACAGTAATGAAACGCAACGCGGTGAAGGAGTCTAATTGCTCGTTGCCTCACTATTGACCGGTAATACGCACAGTTTAACAATTGGTCTTTTGAATTCGGAGGTGGCCGTCTTGACGGTGACAACCCGTACGAAGCCGTCGGAGCCGGGGTGACAGTGTGTCACTCGGCCCAACTCCCATTTGCAGGGGGGTAACAGCGGATTTCGCAACAGGACAAGTTGCCCGGTTTTGATCGGTGGCTTGACCTTTCGCCATTTTGCTCTTTGTTGTAACGTATTTAAATAATCGTTACCTTATAGCTTCCAAAATCGCTCGGTAACGTGTCGGACGAGCTGCCATCTCGAAAGACGATTTTCGTGGAGATCGAGCAATGATGGTTCCGGGTTTACAGTAAGAGCGACTCCGATCAGGAAGTGAGCGGGGGTCAGACCCTCGTAGTCCTCAAGCGTATCGGAGAGGGGCGCAATCGGCCTAGAATTAAGACACGCTTCGATTCTGCATAGCAAAGTCGAGAATTCCTCGAATGTGAGCATGTGATTCCCTAACACGCGGCGCAAATGAGTTTTGACGCTCCGTACGCCCGACTCCCACAATCCGCCGAAGTGCGGAGTAGACGGGGAAATAAAATTCCACGACACGTTATCGGAGGCAGTCAAGTTCAGAAAGTTCGGATCGCGTAATGCTGACCGGGACGCGACGGTCATTTCTCGGTCCGCCCCGACAAATGTTGTCCCGTTGTCCGAATACATGGAGTGCGGGAGGCCGCGGCGAGCGCAGAATCGAGAGTAAGCATTTAAAAAGGCTTGAGTGGAGTAGTCGCTTACTAACTCCAAATGTATTGCCTTTGTCGCAAGGCAGATAAATAATGCGATATATGCTTTACGCGACGTAATACCTCGTCCAGCTGAAGCGCGAATTTGCACGGGTCCTGCGTAATCTAAACCGCAATGCAAAAAACAGCGGACTGTCGCTGTCACGCGAGTTTCGGGAAGATCTCCCATGATTTGTGTGGGAGTCGCGGCTCGTTCGCGAGTACATATAACGCATTTATGAATGACAGATTTTACTATGTTACGAGCGCGAAGTATCCAGAAATCGCGGCGCAGAACATTTAGCGTAAGTTGCGGTCCGGCATGTAACGCTCGTAAATGAGTTAGATTCACAATCAATGTAACGAGAGGATGAGATGAGAGAAGAATCGGATGTCGAACTGGCATTGGCAACGGGGCTTTGTTAAGCCGTCTGCCCACGCGTAGAATCCCGTCCCGATCGAGGAACGGTCGAAGTGAGAGAAGTGAGCTTCTCGACGAGAGGCTCTGATTTTTTGACAGCTCGTGTATCTCCGTCGGAAATAAGTCAGCTTGAATTTTCTTAATCCAGAAAATTCTGGCAGTGTTGCAGTCGGATGCAGAAAACGCTATGCTTCTCGATGCTGGATAGTGAGACGACAGAAGGGAAAACGACGACGAGCGATTACGATCACATAAGCTTATGAATTTGATGATATACGCGGTGACGCGAATTAATTTTGGCCACGATGAATATCTTGAAGCGAGGTTCCACGTAACGTGAGGTTGAGAGCATTGCAGCGAATTAATTTTTTCTTCAAGAGGGGGTTCCGTTGGAAAGTGCGGTGTGTTGCATGGCCATTGATCGGAAGCGGAATGTAGCCATGGAGGGCCTTGCCACCAAAGCTCACGATTGAGAATTTCATCGCCGTATATTCCGCGCAAAGCGCAATCCGCGGGGTTTTCCTCTGTTGGCACGTGCCGCCACTCGACGTCTGGGAGACGAGTCTGAATGTCGTTCACGCGATTTGCGACAAAAGTCTTCCATCGTGATGGAGTTTGACATACCCACGCGAGCACGGTCGTGGAATCTGTCCAGCAATAACACGGAAGATCTTTGTAACCGTTTGATCCGCATCCATTTTGCTATGTGTGGTTCGGAAATAACATCATCCCAATCGATTTTTATTCGCCAGAGTTGCTGCATAAAGATTTTTGCGGTAATCGTGACCGGAGTGACCCATCCAAGCGGATCGTAGAATTTGGCGATCGCGGACAAGATCGTACGCTTGGTATCCAGGGCATTAGCCGTCAGTGACACACGAAACTCGAAAATATCGTTTGCCGGATTCCATCCGATTCCGAGGATTTTAATTTGTTCGTCTTCAGCAAGAGATTTTTTCGTAGTTAAACCGTGATCTGCTATGTCGATATCCTCGAGGAGAGAGGGCGAATTGCTAGCCCATTTCCGTAATACGAATCCGCCGCGCTTTAACATTAAATTTAATTGATCGCGCGCTTGGCGAATTCGAGTCGTATCGTCAGTTCCGAAAAGTAAGTCGTCGACATAAATATTATCTCTCAGGATAGGAATTGCGAGCGGAAAGTACTGACCTTCGTCGATGACTAGTTGTTTTAAGACGCAAAGTGCCAAAAACGGAGCACATGACATTCCGTACGTGACTGTTAATAATTGGTAATCGATTAACGGTTCCGAAGGAGTTGCTTTCCATAGTATCCGCTGATAATTTATATCACGAGGATTGACTAGAATTTGGCGATACATTTTTGCGATGTCGGATGAATACACGTATTTATGTCGGCGCCATTGTAATATTACCGACATGAGATCGGTTTGTAATTTTGGACCGGCGTGTAAATGGTCGTTGAGTGAAGTACCGTTCGAAGTAACGCTTGAAGCGTTGAAGACGACGCGAAGACGCGTTGTTGAGCTGCTTTCCCGGATCACCTCGTGATGCGGGAGATAGAACGTTTGTTCGATATCGTCTTGAGGCATCGGTGCTGCCAGCATATGCCCAAGACGTTGATATTCGGAGATAAAATCGGAATATTCTTTCGCTAACTCGGGTTTATCGCGAAATCTCCGTACTAGCGAATTTACAATTTTTTCGGCGCGAAATCTTGAATTACCGATATCGATAGGAGGACTCGTTTTGAACGGCAGGCGAACTATGTACCGGCCGTCGGAGTCGCGATAGTGCGTCGAGCAGAAATGCTCTTCACACTATTGTTCTTGCGGCGTAAGAATTGATTGTCGTGAAAGTTCTTCAATCTCCCAAAAGCGACGAAGTTCCTCTTCGAGAGAGGGAGAGCTGATAGTGTGATGAGCGAAAATGTTACCGCGAATGCAATGAACGGAAGTCATTGTCGACTGAAAGGGATCTTGACTCTCGAGCGACGTGAGCAGTCCCGAGATTATCCATCCGAAAATGGAATTCTGAGCGAAGGGTTGTCCGACGCTTCCTTTGCGAACACCGTCGCGAATGATGTCGCTATAAAGATCAGCTCCGATTATGAGATTGATAGGATTGGAACTCGTCGGATCCGCGTCTGCTCGCGGTAACTCAGAGAGATAAAAAAGTGACGAGAGATCCACGTGTCTTCTCGGAATATAAGATGTTAGCGACTTTAGAATTAGCGCGGTGGTAGAAAGCGACGGAGCGAGAGATTCTCGATGAGAAATAAATATGTGTGTCGCGTATTGAAAAGTCCCCGCGTGAATCCCGCCGACGGCGGAAACAAAGATCGGCATACGAATGCGTTTGACACGCAAGAGTTGCGCTAAACTTTCAGAGATGAAAGTCAGTGCAGAGCCCTGATCAAGAAGAGCTCGGACGACCGCGATACGACCCGACGGACTGCGCACGGTTACCCAGGCTGTCGCTAGGAGGACGGGTGATCGCTGTCGCGTTACAGTTGAGGCGCTCAACGAATTTACCTCCGGCGTCGCATCCGACGCTTGAGGCGACGAGCAATTAGACGGTGCATTTTTCAAAGCACTTGAGCTAGAATCCGAGTCAACGTGGAGCATCGAATGATGTGACAAACCCGACAAGAATATTTACTTTTGCATTCATGTGCGGAATGCCTTGCGCTCAAACAATTGAAACAACGTTTTTGTTGCTTGACTATATCGCGACGTTGACTCGCAATCTTGCTCACGAACGCAGGACATACATTTATAAGGTGTCAAACTGGACACAACGGGCACTGCGATTGTGCATTTGCAGAGGCAATGGCGGCATGAACTCGCGCGGCTGCGACGGGTTTTACCCCGGGTTTAGAGGCTGACGCTGGAGCGGATGCCTCTAACGCGCGAGTGCGAGACTGAATGAATCGGCTTAAATTCTCGTAAAACGGCGGAGCATCTGTATCGCTTATCTTTACGTTCCAAGCTTTGCGCGTTACCGGATCTAATTTTTGGACAATGATATGCACGAGAATATCATCCCAGAGTTCTTCCGGCTTTCGACCGAGGGTTTTCAATGATGCGACCGCTATATTCACTTTATCGTATAAGGCAGTGCTCGGATTTAGTTGCACATTTCGGCCCGATTCCGTGGCTCACGCCTATTGCCCCCCCAATACAGATTTCCGCAAATACATAAGGAAGAAATAAATAAGCAGGTAGAGGAACTCCTAGAAGGAGATATAGTAAAACATTCGCAGTCACCATACAACACGCCTTTGTCTTATTATTATATTTGGACATTCTTATATACGGACGCTCCTGAGACAAAACGTCGCGCTCCTTAGTTACGCGTATCTGACGACTCGTCGCTAACGCACGAGCGATGAGTTGGGGGCAATAGGCGTGAGCCACGGAATCGGGCTGAAATGTGCAACTAAATCCGAGCACTGGTATAAGGTCTGCATCTTGGTAGCAGATTCGCGCGAGATGGTCGATAAATTGAGTAATGTCGAAAGATGTTTGTTTATCGACCGCTTTTTGTCTTCGTACCGCGAGGTCAAGGCTTTCCACGCTATTTCAAAATTAGCGGCCGTTATAGAAATATTCGCGATACATTCCAGCGCGCTACCTTTCAGACACGATGATAAAAAATGCATGCGCGCAAAGTCAGTTAACTCGGTGTTGTTTCGAATTAGCGTCGTAAATCGATCGCGAAATTGCTCCCATTCGTCATAATTACCGTCGAACGGAGGTAATTTTATAGGCGGAAGATGCGATAACGAAAACGCGGACGCGTCCGCGTGCAGCCTTGTCGAGGACAGAGATGGATTTGGACTCACGACTGGCTCCATTTCCTCCAGGATTTCTGCCATGTGGTCCAGAGCGTTTTGATAGACTGCGTAGGTCGCGTCGTAGTGTTTTTCCTTGAAGTAGATGAGAGACGACCTAGTTGCTTCCGGGATTTTCTGCGACAGTTCTGTATGTCCGTTGAAATATTGAGTCCAGATCTTTTCGAGCTGGGAAATCCTGGAACGCACCTTAGCTGGTGTTAGATTGTTCCTACCGATTTTCTTGAAATTATCGAGATAGCGATCAATCGTATATTGAAGTTGCTGTTGAGGTACGAATTGCTCCGCCATCGTGAAGGTATCAAACTATCACTCACTCGCGAGCTTATCCTCCACACACGCTTCTATCCGGCTCAAAGGACCAATATGTTCGGGAGTCGGCCTCGACGAGATCGCCCAAAACTGAGAGAAACGCTCAGAGATGAGCCAGAAGCGATGTGTAACGCGAATCCGTAGATCCGCTGGAGGATAAGGAGATGTTCCGAAAATACTCGAGTGTAAATTGTTTTCAATATTCGTTTTATTTAGAATACTAGGAGCGAGCGA